GTCGTGTGTCCTGGTCGAATGGGAATTCTTGACGATCTATTCCCTCGCTCTCAAACTTTTATTGTGGTGGAATTTAATCGGGGCGCAACGATTGAAACAGGGGGGAGTTTTCCCAAACGGGGCGCGCGCGTAGGGAGAACCCTGGGTATATGCGCTGACCACAATTCATTTCGCAAATTTGTTGGAGAAAAAAAAGGGGAAAAAAATTTGTTTTGTTCGGGTAATTATTTACATATATATACATTCTATTACAATCATTTCTAAATTCAAGATGTTAGATAACTACCAAGGGTAACTCTTCCTGGATATAACGATGAACGATTGGCAATGAGGAATGAACTGTTCTTTTAGGCATACAGTTTACGCTCCAATCGAACTGTAGCACTGGTTTCTTGAATCTATTATTTCCATTATGGCACATAGGATCAAGAGCATATAAAGAAGGAGAGCGTACAACGTTGAAATGCTGAAACCTTGTTGCAGTATTAGTCGAATTAAGAAACTTTGCCCGTTTTATTTTGACGATTCTTTGCAGTATTATTGATCAGCTGTCCTACCTTGTTAATATAAAACAAACCGCATGTCAGGACCTACGATGCCCCTACGCTGAGATAATGAGCGGTGAAAATCTGGTATTTTCGCCGAAAACTGACTCGCAATACCTGCTGACTGCGAAGTCCTGCCTCTCGCTTTGTGATAACTTCGGGAAATCTCGCGTGTTTCCGTCAATGATTGACAAATGGAATGAATGGCGTCTGTTATTGATTGGCTTGCCATAGTGATGAGACTGATGACCCCCACCTGTGCCCACCTCACGCTGGATGTAGTAAACTCTGTAGTACTGACGTAATGAGTCGGTGGCTCGGTGCTACCATGGCGCGACACAGCGGCGACCGGAAGCAACACACAAAGCGAGAGAGGGTCGCAGTAAACAGTGATCTCGAGTCGGTTTTCGGCAAAAATACCAGATTTTCACCGTTCATTATCTCAGCGTAGGAGCATCGTAGGGACAAGCGGTTTGTTTTATATTAGCAAGGTAGGACATCTGATCAATAATACCGCAAAGAATCGTCAAAATAAAACGGGCAAAGTTTCTTAATTCGACTAATACTGCAACATGGTTTCAGCATTTCACCGTTGTACGCGCTCCTTCTTTATACGCTCTTGATAGGATACAGTCATGCAGTCGTAATAATAACATATAATGTTTAACCATTTCATCGAGTAAAATTGAAAAAAAAAAAATCTAATTACGTCGCCGCGAAAATTTCGTCTTCTTGCACAATGTGCAATTAGCTGAAACAGAAATAATTGTATTGCAATGGCTGACGTGCACATTTGGATGCAACGAAAAGAACAATATAAATAGTTAGTGTGATAAACACTAGAATGTTGCCTAAAAAATTTAGCGAGCACAACTAGCCGTGCTTTTTTGTTCTGCGAGCAACAGGGAAGCGAATTTATATCATTGAGGCGAAGAGAGAATGGCTCAATTTGTGATCGAGAAATTCCATCTAGTTGATGATGTTTCTTGCTTTTACCACCAGTATGAGCATCAGTCGGTATGGATGTAGCAGCAGCAGTACTAGCAGTAGCGTTGTGGCAGTTTTTGTTGGCGGAGGGATAATAGCAGTAGTGGTGGTGGTAGTTGTAGCAGCAGTAGCAGCAGCAACAGTATTAGTAGCGACAACAGCACAAGTAGCAGTAGCAGTAGCAGCAGCAGCAGTAGCAGCAGCAGCAGTAGCAGCAGCGGTAGTAGCAGCAGCAGCAGTAGTAGTGGCAGTAGTAGCAGCAGCAGCAGCAGTAGCAGTAACACCAGCAGCAGTAGCAGCAGGAGATGAGAGGATCGCACGTCGAGCCAGAGATGAAGCTGTTTGTTCTTAATAACATAGTCGACAGAGAGTTGCATTATCGTACAGGCGTACGGAGGGATAAAATGCTGAGGATATTTCTAATTTATTCTCGTATCTCAACGGTCAACCTCACCGCAGAGCGCGCAACGTTCTCATGTCACCGTCTGAGAGCGAAGGGTCGCAACATTGGATACATAAACGTCCGTCCTAGAAGTTTCTTCACTATAGTGAACGAAAAATACACGGGGCGTCAGAGGCGAGTATTAGCCCCCGAAATGCCAAAGAGAGAGCGCTTCGCGTTCCTGGAAATTGCATATCAATTCAAATGCAACCAAGAATATAGAGTGTAGCAATTATCTATAAGCTAACACCGAAGCTTAGCGGAAAAATAGAATATAAGTAAGCGCGCGCGAAAAAATAAAGTTTTTTACTTTCCATGGTTTCTTGCTTGTATCCCTATTCGATGCAGAGGTGTCGTGCCGAACTCACGCCATACTGGTGATCATATTAACCGATCCCGTTGTGGAGAATGATTTTCACAGGAGGCCTCGAGAACTACGCATTCTACAGGCGACAACCTCAACAATTTTTGTAACAATTTGCTGGCCTGTGACACTCTCACAGACAAGCCCCCCCTTCTGCTCCGACTTTCTCCTCGCTCCTCGCCTCCGCGTCCACCTGCAGCGTTTGCCTGCATGCCTACGGCACTCTGACGTGAATCTCATTCATGCACCTTTTTTTTCAACTGGCCAATTTACCCCTTTGTCTACATTTCCCTGAGAAGAAATCCTGCGATCGAGAACCGATCACTTCGTGCAGAATACCACATAAACCGGCCTCCCTACTACACAGGTTGATAAATCCTGGAGACTCAAGCAAAATTAATCACTACCCTAGCCAATAACATCAATAGTCATACTGAAGCCCGGCGGCACACCGCTGATAACTTTTACTCAAGTAAAATGATGGTCATGCGTCAAAGATCTCCACTGTGGCGGCGATTTTCGTAGAGTTCATTGAGTGAGCGTATGGCATCAAGAGAGTCCTCGAGGATATCAATATCATGTTTGACTTATATATTCTTTTGACTGCGTGCATCAAAGAGTAACTCTAACGTGTGGCGCAGCTAGCTGGCATAAAAGACTCTTATAGCTGACATCGCCTGTTCTACACTAGCGCATCAGCGTTTAAATCACATGTCAGAATCCAATCGAGCATATATACACTATGTATTATAATTTTTTCTCTTTTTTCTCATGCTCTGCTGCCCAGGTACACTGCTCGATCTACATACCAACTTACACCTTGAGTAATTTACTCACGTTTTGCGGCGTCAGGACGATCTCTCTAAAAAAATATATCGCCGTGAGCATGTATATATAGCGCCATCATTCATTTTACTCGAATAAAAATTACTCACAATCAGAGTGTGCGCGGGCTTTAGCTAGCAAGTCTAGAGTGCTCACTCAATCACTGTGACTTCTCTAGGCTACAATGTAAATGAGAGAGGTCATAACATGTACTACAGCGTGTGTGCCACTTTTTTATAACGCGTGGCACCCAAAGCGACATAACACTCATAATCAACGTCAGAGGAACGAGATATTGGCAGTGTGGTGCGGTCTTTGCGCGCGTCAGACGCGCCGCGGCATCGTGCTCTAGGCACCCATTAATCTAAACCGTCAGTAAAAACGCTAGCCTTGCTATGAGACACCGAAGCGACTATATAAACAACTAATCTCGTGTCTAGGGTTCTCGTGACTGGGGCCGGCAAATTTGGGCAACGAGATATGGTCGGCGCTTCTCTCTACGTAGATGAACTGCGACGGTAGACACCGGGGGCGCAAAGAACCCGTTCCCCGTTCCACGCACCACAAATCACTACGCGACAAGACAACAACAACTGTCGGGGGGGGGCATCTTTACTATCTCAGCGTTTTGTTTCCCGTCGATCCTTTGTAATCTGCGAAAAAACAGTTACCCATTGTCTTCCTCCGGAGGACACTTGCCGCCTGCAGCCAGACACGCAGGGCCCACC